CCTTGATGAACCTTCGTCCTCGGCTAACGGGAGAGAACGGTGGTGCAACAAGAAGGACAAACTTCCATCTGGAAGACGGATGTACCCGGCGCGATCATAAACGGCGAATTATTTATCATATGGGTTGAATGTTACGTCCGATAAATCTTCGGCGCGGGGCACACTTTCCGAGAGAATGCAACCGGACTTTTACGTCGATGATCGTTTCAGCGTTATGTCATTATTCTTCGTACAAGTAGCTGAACACATCGAGAAAGCTCCGTTACCGGTCGGAAACTTCTAACGTTTGCTTCGTAAATTTCGTTGTACGACTTCATCGTGTTTACGCACCGTCTTATAAATAGTTTGCATTGCATGTTGATCAAGCCGAACGTCCGTCAGTTGTTGGCTAATTTCTGAATATTCGAATGAGAATATATATGCTCGGTCTACGAATTAATTCTGATAGAAATTGAGAAAGTAGATGATTGTTTGGTTTGTTTCACGCAGTAACGATGATGAAGCGGTTGTATCGTAGAAAATTGAAGTAAATCCTTAGGAGGAGATATTAAAGTGGAATAGAAATTAAGTAGTATGAAAATTTCAGTTTTATTGGAACGTTGGTGAGAAATTAATATCTGGGTGATAGAAAGTTTAATAAATTTATCTAACATAAGAATAGAATTCTTTAATTCGGGACTTTGCTCTGGAAAGAACAAGATTTGAAAATTTGTCAAGTATACTTTAATTTAATTTAATTTCAGATAGAAAGTAATTTTGAGTGTAAAAAAGACGAATCAAAAGTGTGGAGTAAAATTTCTCCATTCTCAAGAAGAAAATGTATTTAAATATATTTAATTCAGAATTGGCTTGATAAATTTCTGAATGTAATTTTAGTATTCTCCTTTATTGATTCAATATCGACTATACCCAAAAAATTTAACTTTCACTCGAAAGTGAAGCGTCATACGAAAAAATTTCGTTCAACAGTTTTAATTTGTGTATTCTCTCACAATTGTGCCACAAACTACTACCTTTCAGTATTATCTCGTTTACTGAACATTAGAAGCGTTACGTGGTGTTATACCACGGTTCACATTCGAAACAAAATTGCACAATTCTACAACATTGCGCAAGGAACGATGCCGCAAATATCCAAGAAAATCAATCAATCTCGTTCGAATGAAATATCACAGAGTTAACGAATATTTGCCGATCGATTTACAATCAATTTGACGATAGAGCAGCGTGAACGTTACACGATATTTGATCACGTGTTCACCTGTAATAGGATTTCATCGGGCACCTCGCTGCAAAGTCATAAATAGCTCGATAGCACACCATAGTAATTATACACCGCGTAACGTATGTAAGAAATATCATTCACATGTTTTAGTATTACGGAATCGATCGAATAATGTGCAGTTTATACGGGACTTCAGCCGTGTGTGTGTGTGTGTGTGTGTTTTCAATGCAGCGTAAGTCGAGCCTCTGAACGATCTCGTGACGCAACGCTTAGTCGGGGAACAGGTTGGTACCACGAGTAATTAGCATCTTTTAGACCGTATAGGTGCGTTAGATATCGATGAAGTGACCTAAACATCGCTCGCTATCTATGTATCCGCAGCGATATTTCTTCGAGTACTGTTCTGATTTAGCAGCCTTCATTCATTCAACAAGTAATAGAGATAAGAACGTAGTGGATGAATCATCGATTGAATCGATAAAAATGAATTAAAACGAGCAGCGTTATTATCGAAATCAGAAGTTATCAACCAGAAGAAAATTAATAAATCTATATAATTATTTCAACGTGGGAATTATTTGATTTGCATCGTTTCTTTCACATCGAGTGTATTTAAGACGCGGGTCTGACTATAACGTGCATATTCTACTTATTGGAACGTTAAATCTACATACATGTACGCATTTCTATCAGTAAATTCATTTGTTGTTTTACACAGTCGAATATCAATGTAATAGTTCTCTGGAAGATAGTTCTTTTGAAAAACATGAAGAACAATGTAAATTGTTTCTTGGTTGTGTCTTTCTAAAGATGAGGAATCTTCGTGGAGGTCAAAATATTTTAGTGAGGTATATTACTTGTAATGTAATACATACCAACTTAAATTAAACTTTATTTCAATCGTAATTAAAATATCGTCTGGCTTGTAGAATTCTGAAACAATACGACAGAATTGAAAGTGATTCAAAGAAGTTAACTCAACAGAACTTAAAAGTAAATCAGAAGTAA